CAGATACTTGGACACCAGACCTTACATTCTAGAGTTCAACAATATTTTAGTCACTTTAAGGAATCATCTGAATTTCTGAACTGTAGGCATTAGCCCATTAGTGAATCATGAGATTTGTAGTGGGTTATACCAGCCCTTACAAGACCAGAGTAGGGTAGAAGGTGTCAGAACCAGAGGAAGTTTGTTTCACGAATCTGCTTCTTGGGGGGCGCAGTGTTTGGGGTTCAGGGTGTGACACTGCAGCTGGCCAGCTGTCACCTCCATGCTCCCTCCTATCACTTAGGGATGTCTCAGGTAGGGAGGGCCTGCCTTGTCAGCAGTGACCCTGTCTGGACCTGTAGGTGACTTAATCTTGGCAGTGGATTGTAACTGAATATGCCATTTTGCTTCTGGGTCAAGCCTTCTCTGGCGGAGAGTCCTGCAGTATGTGTGGGCCTCCTAGTGGCCTGGCACCTGAAGCACCGTGGAAGGGGCACCGCGACAAGCGGGAAACCTTACACTGCTGCACGTAAGCAAGAAAACAACTTGTTTTGAACCACTGACATTTTGGGACCCCCTGCATTAGAGAGCAGCACATGTAATTTTGATACACCATCAGACATGCTTCTCTCTGTGGGTGATGGGCCAGGTGTGTGTGTGTGTGTGTGTGTGTGTGTGTGTGTGTGTCTCCCCAGGCCTTCTGGATGAGCTGGGAAGGAGCCCTGTGTGGGATAGATGCCAGCAGGCCAGAATTGCCTGATTGCTGCACAAGGAAACCTTGCTGACCCCCGGTAAGCCCAGGCCTGTAGCACAACCCCACCCCCTTGTGGGTTTTGAACCCTTCACCCCTCATCCCCCACCCCTCCACCTCCCTTCTCAGCCCCCATCCCCTCCTGCAGAACCATTCCCCGCAGCAGCATCTGTGGTTCACACCTCAGCCAGCACAAGGACCCCCGCAGGCTTTCTCTGAACCTCTGAGGTGCAGTTTTCTGAGAAAACCCACACCACTCTACACCCTGCCCCCGCCAGCACAGCATGAGTCCAAGTTTGCAAGCCCAGAACCTCGCCTTCCTCTTCAGCCACCTGATGTCCTGGCCTCCACCACTGTGGTTGGAAACTGCACAGGCTGCTGGGATTCCCCAGAGCTCGCCGCTCCCAGATCGAAGCCGCCCTCAGCATGTGGCCACGCTGGGGCTGGGCTTCAGGAACAGCGTGCAGGCCTCACCCCTGGCCCAGGGTTCCACCTTCCGGGGTTAGTGGTGCTGGAGGTGTGGTGGGGTAGCTAGGTACAGTGCCTGGCATTTAAGAGGCTTGACTCCTTTGCACCAACTCTGAAAATGGCCCAGCTTGGCTTCTGTCCCCTGCCCTCCTGTATGGAGCTGACCTTGCTGGAAGTCCCTCTTACCTGGGAGAGGGGGCCAGCCCTCCAGAGGCTGAGTCAGGGAGGTGGCTCTGGCCCTTGGTCTGATGGAGTGTGTCATCTCAGAGTGCAGGAGAGTGATTCAAAGACTGGGCTTCAGGTTCCCTCCAACCTGTAAGCAGCCCTGGGATTTGATCAGAGTTGGTTCTGGCTTTTTCTTAGGGCTGAAACTTTTGGAAACAAGAGCAGAGAATAACCAAGAGGCTTAGGGAACACAGGCTTGCTCTGGGGGAGCAGAGGGGGAGCCTAGCCCCTGGCCCCATTCTGGCCTTCCGCCTCCTCACACCACTCCTGGGTCATGGCTCGGATTCCAACAGCCTCAGCTCAGTCACTGCGAGAGGGGCTGGTCGATGAGGTGGGGCTGGGTGGATGTCTGCAGAGGAGGCCTGGGCCCTCCTGAGGCCCTCATCTTCCTGAATTTCCCATCTGCTTATTTGCTCTGCAAACCCCCAAGGATAGGGACCTTTCCCCACCCCCAAGGCAGCTCCAGCACAGAGCTTTGCATGTATCAGATGCTCAGTAAATAGTGAATGGCTGTGGCCAGGTCCAATTTTTGTGAAGCGAAATAGGCAGTCTGAACTATCTCCAAGATGGGGGAGTTTAGAGGACAAGGGTCCAGCCAGGCAGGTCGCCAGGGGTTCTCCTTTATTGCATAATCACCCATCCCCAAACTCAACAGCTACAAGCAATAAGCATTCTGTTTCCTTGTGACTGTAATTTGGGTTCCGTGTTTTGCCTTTGCTCCGCACAGTGAAGATTGAGACGCACAGATTCACTGCTGAGAGCGCTGTAAATTACTGTCCTCTGCAGAGAGGCCTGGCAAAATTTCCTAGGCTTCCTTAAGGCCTGGAAAGCAGGTCTCAAGAGAGACAGGAAGCAGTAGCTGCTAGCCTTAAGGCAGGAGACTGGAAACTGGAATTGCATTATGTCCTCCATAGTATTCTGCTTAGGATGTCCCAGAGCTGAAGTTCAAGGGCCTTTTGATGGCAAGAGTATCAGAGTTTGGGATTAGTTGACAAAACTGTCACATAAGCCTTTCTGGGAGAGAGGAAGGAGCAGCTCCAGGGAGTACAGCTGGAGTCATCTTGGTCACCTCTCAGTGGTGAGCCCTCCTCTGGCCACCCTGGGAAGTCTGCTATCACTCAGCACGGTGGGGTGTATCCCCTAAAGTAGCCGCAGAAGCACTTCCTGTCTCACATGTCTTCTGGAGCACTGCCCTTCCTGGCAAGAAGGGGCTTGTGACCACTGTGGTGACTAGAATGTGGCCGCCACTTCTGCCACATGGACCTCTGTGGCTAGACTGTAGAAGGTAAGATGGTTCCCACCTGGAGATGGTGCCTGCTTTCTCCCCTCCCCATTCCTGTGCTGCTCAGACATCAGCGAGGAGGGAGTGCACAGAGCCACCAAGCATCCTGAGGACTCACCTATCCTGTCCCAGCTGCTTCAGGTGGGAAAAGAGCTGGATGGTTAAGGAGCAAGGGCACTGGTGAGTCCTAGCAAGTGAGACCAGGTTGCCTTTGTGGTGGGATGGAAAGGGGTCTGACCAAGGGAAACTGAGTGGCTATAGGATCAGGAACAGACCTGAAGAGGCAATGCTGCCATTGAGGGCCATGGTTGTGTTTGCTGGCTGTCATTTACTTGGGAGCATTTATAGGGAGTGACATCACTTTTTCAGCCATGTCACTTGTGAGCTACAGCTAGCTACCCCTTCCTTTATCGAGTCTGAGTGTTGTAGGAGGGCTTCCCCTACCAGGCCCCTTCCTGAACTACAGTCAGGATTTGGTCTTGGGGCTGCTGAGTGGAGTGTGCTCTCTTCAAGGGCCTGGTGCATCCAGGCTCTGCTGAGGGCCAGCCTCCATCATGGCACATTCCTGTGGGAGAACATGCCACCCTTGCTGCCCTAAGTCCATCCCTCTAATTTGATAGCATTTACTCAGCAGGAGGTAGGTGTGCCTGCCGCTCACAGTGGGGACGGCTCACAATGGGGTCACCTGGGTGCCCTCTGTAGCCTTCTGGGACGTCTCCAAGGCTGGATGGCAGGCCTTCCTCTGCACTCTTTGAAGCTGTTTTGGTACTTTTTCCTGATACGGAACGATCTCTTGTCCTGTTACTGGCAATTCAAGGGGCACTTTATGTCCTCAGGATCCACATAGCCTCATACTTTGAGGCACGAAAGAGTTTGCTGGAGGAAAATGGGCTGGCTGATGAGAGAAACCTGTGAGGGGTGTCACCCCTGTGTGTCCAGGGCCCTTCAACTTCCTGTGAGAACTAAGAACCTCCCCTTGACAGATGCTCCTCTGGGTGCAGAGGTTTCTAGATATTCACATGCCCTCTTAAAGCTCAGAATGCTGGCTGTGGCAAGGCAGTGATGGGTGGAACTGGGACTGTCAGCAGCTCCTCCAGCAGGGTGTGATTGGCTGAGGTAACTCGCTCATGGAGGAGTTGACAACCTGAGCTGGAATCCAGGCGTCACATGCAGAGGGGCTGCCCTGGCCCCGAGCCCACACTGGTGCTCTTACTCCTCTGCTGACCAGGGAGCAGGGGAGTGTCTGGGCACACTCCTCACCTGGGATGGTGGTGGCCCAACCTGGCAACCCTGGCCGCCTCCCTGCTATACCCTACACATTGCTAAGCCAGGTACATACTGCAGCCAGAAGTCAGGGCCCGTGAAGGAAGGAGTCTGTTTATAGCTCCCCAGCAGCTGACCCTGAGTGAAGATTCAGGAAAGCCCTAGGAAGCCACTGGTGCCTGCCTCAAGGCACACTGTGCGGGGAGGAGGGCAGCTGCTTCCATGCAGCGGCCATGCCCAGCTCAGTGGCCCCCCCAACCTGCACTTCCTCTCTGGCAGAACAGCTTCTTCAGGCTCAGGGCAAGCCCCTCCATTACCTCCATGGAGGTGCAGCTTGGACCCCAGCAGCACTGTTCAGAGACTTCCAGAGACGTGCGGGAGGTGCTCCTGGAAGCTGGTGGCAGATTCTAGTGCATGTGTCGCTGTCACCTGCTGGGGAAATCCAGCTGGCTCTCATTGGCAGGCGCTGGCTCTGCATTCTCAGGTGCTGATGGCTTCCGGGCTGCCACCTTTTCTAGCTGTCATCTAGGACAAGAGTGCTCTTGCTACCTCTCCTTTGTTCTCACCTATAGACTTTTTATCAAATACTGTATCAGCTGAGAGGGAGGAAAGCTTGATGCTGTGGGGAGTGGGGGAAGGGGTGGCGGGCTGAGGGGGGCTGGCTTCGACGATGGTCTGTAGGTAGGCCATGAAGGACCATCTCAGGTAGGACCCAGACTCCTGGGGTCCACAGTTATCAACCAAGGGGTGGGGTCCCACGATTTCCTCGAAACTGTCCTCTTCTTCATCTCCTGTCAGCAGGCTCCAAACACCCGATCTTGTGTCACCTAGCAGTTTTCTGCCGGCAGAAAAAGAAAAGTGCAGCCCAGGAGATGCAGCCCCTGTTCTGAGCTGGAGAGGAAGGGAAGGAGGGTCGTAGGCTCCAAAAAGTGGGGAGGGGGGCTGCACTGGCCGCCAGTGCACGGCTGGGTAGAGAGCATGCCCTCCTCAGCCCTGAACCCACCCATGCCTGGAACAAGTCATGCCACAGTCTCAATTTCACATTATTTTTTATTATAACTACTGAATAGGATGACTTTGCAAGTGGATAAATCATTACTTAAATCAGTATGAGTTACAGCATAAGGATGGATGAGAAAAAGTGAGAGGGTGTAAGGGGCACTCCTGAGTATTCCCTAAGTCCACTGGACTGTGCCACCGTGAGGAGTCACTGTAGCGCTGTCAACGCGGGCTCCACCTGTTTTGTTCTCCCAACACCATAAAAAACCTTCTGAAAGTTATCACTGAGAGGCAGCCTGATCCGTGGGGAGGAGGCCTGGCCGGCTGCTGTCCTCAGTCCAGCCCAGCCCTGCCCGCTGCTCCAAAGCACCCACTGCTGCCAGGCACGGTACAGGAAAAGTGATGGCTTTCCATGTTTGGAGACCTAAATCCTCACACTTACTCTTATTCTGCAGTGACCTCTGGGCACAGTTTCTTAGAAAACATTAAAAGAAAAACAAAGTAAACATGGATTGCATATGACCTGGAACTGCATGACCTGCACAGCTCTACGCGTGCCTCGGGTCTCGTGTGGAGAAGGTGGCACCAGCCCCTGCAGTGGCTGCCCTGGCGCCGCGACGGGCACAGCTCAGCTGTACTCCAGAAGGCAAGTCACACGGCGGGCCTGGCTTACTTCTGGAGTTACATTCATTCTGCAGTGCTGCTATTTCTTTCCAGAGTACAGTTAGCACTGAAAGTAAGGAGGTCATTTCTGTGAGAATAACCCCATATAATTAAATTTTTAAAGTGTTATATGACCCCCTTAACACAGACGTGAAATAAGGCAAAGTAACTGTGAATTTCTTTCTCTAGTTATCTGTAACTCTCAAATGTAAATTAACACATGAAGTTTAACTCAGATTTCCAGTCTGATCAGTGGAATGCATGAAACACAGGATATGTATATAAAAAGATAAAAATGGGAATTAAGCTTAACGTATTTAACTGCTAATGATCAAAATGAGGCATTTCATTGATTACCATGTTTTTTAAAAAAGCTTCATATATCAACAATTTAAAAAAAGTGCACTTAAACATAAGTACCCAATTTAAAAAAGAAACAAAAAAGAAATACTCTTTAATAGCACTGTAACTAATAACACAAACAATGCTCACCAAAGAATAAAAAGTCACTTAAAAAAACAATATTAAGCCAGCCATGGTGGCTCACACCTGTCATCCCAGTACTCAGGAGGCTGGGGCAGGAGGATCACCTCAAGTTGGAGGCCAGCCTAGGCCCCATGGTGGGTTCAAGTTCAGCATGAACTGCAGAGTGAGTTTGTCTCAAAACAGCCAAAAACCAAACCCCAATATTACAGTGCTCTACTTCTGAGTCTGGGGCTGACATGCCCATGCCCGAGCCCCCCGAGTTCTTTCTCTGAAGAGGGGGTATTGGGGGACTAGAAGTAACACCTCTGAGTGAACCCCTCAGTTCTCATGTGGCACCAGCACAAAAGGACAGAAGGACAGAGGAGGACCTGCCCTGGTAGATGGACAGGGCTGGGAAATTGACTACTAAATGCCCAGCCAATGGCACAGAACCAGCCTAAAGCCTTCTTGGCCTGGTGAGTGGCTGCTGAACCTCAGATCTTGTCTTAGCTCTTAGGGCGAAGGAGGTGCTAGACTGAGCAGATGACAGTGCCTAAGCTTTAAGGAGATCGCCAGTCTTGTGGCCCTTGACAGGTTTGCCCAAGGTCCCTGGCAGGACAGCGCCACACCTCACAGGTCTAGGAGCACAGCTGCCTTGTGAAGGCAAGCCCTCTGTGAGAAAGTGACTGTGGCACCATCTGCACTGGTGCAAGGCCACACACGGTATGGGGACCAAGGGGCTCACAGGATTGGCACAGGGACCCATACTAGTGACAGCTTACTCAGTGGTGCAGGAGCCAGAGCGATCAGTGCATCTGCCAAGCAATGCCCATGGGGAAGGGCAGACAACTTTGGTGGCTGGCAAAGCACAGTAGTTACTCACCTCAATACAGTGGTGAGGTGAGCTGTTTCTCTGCCAGAGTTTAATGAGTTGTACAGCCTATTGGAACCTACTCTGTAGTAGCTGACTTGGGAGTATCCCATTTTCTTAGAGATTGAGTGGGAAAGGTGTCACGATCCCATTTGGCCTTAGAGAAATACATGGTGAGCAGTAGGTGGGCATAAATGCTCTTTCACACTTAGCTTTCATGTAGTTACCATGAAAGGGACCACTGCTCTGAGGCCCCACCACCCTCTAAGGGCCCAGAGAGCCAGTGCTCCCTGCAAGGCCCACGGATCCCTGAGGGTGGTAAAATCCCTGTGTTGGTGAGCACCCCCTCCCTGTGTCTCCTGTGAGGAGTGAGGAGAGGGCCCCTTGCCAGAGTCTTCCCCTTTGAGGAGAAAGCCTCGTGCTGCTTTGTGCCTGCCATGGCTTCCTAAGCCACCAATGAAGAGGGGCAGAACCTGTCATCTGTGCTGAAGCTTAGGAGGGAATCCCATGTCTGACCTGGTCCTGGTGGTGGTGCCCAGGATGCAGAGTTTACAGCTCAGCACAGAACCTGCACCTCTTAACTGAATCTCAGAGAGGGAAAGAGCTGCTTAGACACCCTGCATCCTCCGGGCACCTGGAATGTTCTCTAGGAAGCACTGCTTCCCCAGAAGGGACTCTCAGTCTAATTCTTTGTTGCTGCTACCTTAAGGCCATGGAGGGGACCCAGCATGGGCATTTCCCTTATTCCTCACTTATCAGATAAAGTCTCTGTAATTTCAGAGCTGTATTCATCAGAAAATTGGCTGTCTGAAAGTTGTTTATTCCATAAGCAAAGCTAGGGATAGTAATATTCTTGCAACTTCTGAAATCAGTGCAGCTCAGACTGGCTTGGAGTGACCTTTTTTCTGAGTAGGAAAGGGTCTAAGAGGTAAAATACAATTATTTTTGAAGAGATGGTAATGGTCAAAGTCTATTCAAGCCTGAGCACTATAAATGTATTCTTTAACACCAAATCATACCTAAGAATGACTCCTAAATTTAGGCCTGTTTTCTAAAGTCATTGTAACTTTGAGAAGTAACAGGTTTTACCCAGCTCTGGAATCTACTCATTCTAGTTTATCCTATTGTGGTTGGTTGTATTTGTGGCTTCCCAAGATAGGAAAGTTTGTTTGAGATAGATTTTCATTGAGTAATCTTTTTTCTTGCTATAGGCCAATTTTTCTGTGGCTAATGGGTTGAGGGACATAAGCTTTGAAATTACCTTCTCCTCCTCTATGTATAACTGATAAGGTGGTCAGATCCATTTAGTTGGGGTGGAGAGAACAGAGGAGGAGTGGTGCTGAGGGTGGGGTTACTGATGGTGTGGTGCTGAGCACTTAATCCAGCTCATTTCAGTGGGAGGCCAGTGTGCGGGTCACGAGGACCCAGAAAGCCCTGCCTGCACCTTGTTGAGCACACTAGCTCTGTGTGCTTTGTGGCCATATTTACTTCTCTCAAAAGGGTTCTAAAGGGCTGTAACCAATGCCAAATGCATGCTGGGAAAGAAGTGCCGATTTCAGATGAGTCTCCATTGGGAAAGCCTTTGAGGCCCCCGAGGCGGGTAGCTGGGTCCTTGTGGTCAAATATCCAGAGGGCTCACAATGGTGAAGCCAGAGTCCTTGCTGCTGTCATCATCAGGGCTGGAGCTGGGGTTGCTGGAGGAAGCTGAAGCTGGACCCATCAGTGGGTCTGAGAACACCAGTGGGGAACAGGCTGGGGCATGGCTTTTCCCAGATGTGTTTCTGAGGGTGCGAAGAGGCTGGGCCTGGCCTGCGAAGGGTCCCCTGGCAGTGCCCCCGTCATCTTCCTTGGAAACCAAGATGAAGTCATCTGAACTCCCTCTGTCTTTGCACTCTGTTGTTTCTGAAGAGGCCTGTGCAGTACAGAGAAAATAACAGGTGACTAAGAGAAGCCTGCAAAGCATGGTTGAGGGTTCTGTGATCTGGGGACATGCCACAAAGTCTGGCCACCTCACCCTGTGCTCTGCCTTGGGAAGAGACAGAGTTTGGTCCTGCCATCTGGAATCCCAGGCATTGAGCAGTGGTCCAGGATCAGCGGAAGCTTGTTGAGTCCTCTGAGCTGAATGCTGGCTTCTAGCAGAACAAAGGCAGGTATCTGCACAACAAGCTGCAGGCAGAGGCAGCACCTCTGCGAGAGGCCAGGCTCAAAGCAGCCAGCAGCAGGCAGCATTCTTCTCTGTCTCATGTGGCACCTGTAGCACACCCCTCCCTCCAAAGGCCTAGTTTTCTCTGTGGAACAGGGAGAAGGGCAGTAGCTTCTTCCTAGCCTGTGGCTCCCTAATGTGAGCTGCCACATCTGGAGTGCTTTTATTACCAGCTTGATGAATAGCATTCAGAGGGCCTAATGTATTTTTATCTCCTATAAATCTCAGAGCCAGCTCATCTTGAAATGCACACACGGGTATCTCCTGGGATGATGGTGCTAAGTATAGGTTCTCCAAGTAGGAAAATCAAAAATGGCAACTAATGGCATAGTACAGAGATACAGTTGCTATAGTCTACAGTTCTTTTCTTACTAAGCAATTATGAGAGGTGTTTTATTTTTTAAATTTAGAAATGTTAACATCCATAGACTCAGGAAAAGATTTGTGTTAGCAAAGGTATATTCTGACCAAGGATGTCTGATGCCAGTTGGCAGAAGCAGTGTGTGGCTGTGGAATGAGGGACAGGCTTACCCCACTGCTGTAGGCAGTTGGGTTAGACAGAAATATTACAGGCAGTCAGACAGGGCTGGGCCCTCAGGGAGCCTGTGTGGAAGACAAGCTACCTAGCGACTGTGGGAGACGACAGGCACTCCTGTTGTGGGCCAGACCTCAAGACAAAAGTTCAAACTAACGCAGCCACATACCTCCCTAGGGATAGATATCAGGTATTGATATTCTAAATAGGTATCAATTACTTTCAAAAAGTCAGGAGTCACTATCCCAAACTACTGCAGGTAAAGTGCCTATTCTGTTTTTTTTTTTTTTTAATGTCTGTTTGCTACCTGCCTCACTTCGCCATTTGATCCCCATGTAATCAGCTTTACCTGAGCAACTGTGCTTGTAATCTTATTGCCTGACCATAGTTTTGTCCCACCTCATGCCCACCTGGTGAGTTCTCAAGTTTTCCACCTTAGACCTGCCTCACCTCATGGTTTTGCTTTATAAAAAAATCCCTTAAAAAAGACAGGTTCCTTGGCAACCCACTCAGGTTCCCTTCTGTCCCTCTCTCAGACAGAAGCTTGCTTTCCCCCAATACACATATTCTGCTCTTAACTTCCATTGTTCCTAAATTTTATTCTTCAGTTTTAAAGATCAGGAACTCATGCCAGGTATCTTTCAGGTTGGGAGTTTCTTTCTCCTATATCACCATCACAGCAGACAGCCAATAGGTGGACGGCAGTTGGGGGTGGGAGTGGCACCGAGCAGGAGCTGGGCCCAAACTCTAATTCAGGGAACACCAAAGCCAGTCTTAGCCCTAGCAAAGGACCAGAAGCATCCCCCTGCTCTGTGACTGGATGCAAGTGTCCTTGGCCTGTGGCAGGACAAGGCCATGCCCCACCTGAGTCCAGAAAGCATAAGCAGGCAAGAAGCTCTGGCTGGAGATAGGAAAACCGAACCCCCTTTCCCCCCACTCTATGGCCAGTGGAACAAGCAGCTTTGGACAGGATAAGGGCACCACCACCCGCTCTGTGACAGGCTGGCAAACAGCCTTGGCTGACTGTAGACAAGGTCACTCTACTCCTATGACCACTCACAGTGTTGCCAAGATCTGCCCCACACCTAGCGGTAACTGTACTGCAGAAGTGATGGAGTTCACGCAGATTCTGGCTTTCACAGGGGAACTAAGACTGAACTAGGGGCACCAGACAGACTAAAGAAAAATATTTTTCTTTTTAAATTTAGGGGGCAGGTACAGATTTTGACTTTGGTGGGTGAGCTTTGAGAAACTGAACTCAGGACCTCAGGCTTAGCATGCAGGTGCTGTGCCACTGAGCTAAATCCTCAGCCCAGATTTTGACTTTTACTGTTTGGTTTGTTTTCTCTCTTGCCTCTCTTTCTTCAAGGGTATTTTGGTATTTGCTAACATTTACTGGTGAATAAATACTATCTCTAGTTTTTAGATTTTTGCTTCAAAATTCTGTTGCTTTCTCCTCCTTTCTGTCTTCTCAGCTTCCTAAAGTTTGGGTGATCATCCTTAATTCATCAGCCTTGCTTTTACTATATTTCTCTTCAGTTATCACTATTTTGTTCCCTGTGCCTCATAAATTCCCCCTGCTCACAGGATAAAAACACCCAACAAAGGGGAAACCCACTGCATATAAATTCCTGGTCTATGTTGGATGTTACCTAACTATAGATCTTGCTCCTAAGATTAGAGATACCAAATTAGCAGTTACCACAGATTGTCAGTTTCTAGACTGTGCTTAATGATATTATTGCTAATTGTACTACTTTAGCCAAGATGCTACACTTGTTCTAATCAGTAGTTCTCCCTTGTATGATAGCAATGCGATAATCTGGGGTTACGATTCATCCCCATAGCCCAGTACCAGTGGACTGGGTGCTGAGCCAGACAGATAACAGCACCTCTTTGCTAATAAAGTGGAAAGATAGGATGTTGGATCAAAGACCCATAGCCAGCTACCCACAGAAGGTATCTTTGAGGAACAGACATTTCCTAAGGAAGTTTGATACCAATGATAAAGTACCTAACGTAAGAAAAATACAAACAACATTTTGAATGGAATGTCATTTCCATTCAAAAATGGAAAATGACAAGACACAGAAGCAAAATGCAATCCCATACTCCCTGTGAGTAGTGGTTGAGCCAAGGCTGAACCGGAGGTAGACAAACTCCTTGGGGCTAGAGCAAGGCCAGTCCTAAGAACACAGGACTCCAGAGGCAAGCCATGTATGTGAACAAGCTGTCAGGACTAGAGCAAGGCCAATGTGTTGGCTTTGGTGTTCTCCCTTGTAATTACAGCACAGATTGCTCTGAGAAATCAGTGCTCTCAGTAAAACACTAAAACCCTATACTTTTGGCCTTGTTGTGTGCTTCCCTCTCCCTTGTATGGTGCATAAATAAAGAGGCAGACCATGCTAGGGTGTCACTGCCTCTCCATCACAGAGGTCAGGTCCCACCTGGTCCTTGCTTTCTTTTTATTTTATTTTTATAGTTTTTTTCTTAATCTTTTGTCACACCCCTCTCTGGACCCTGATCCCCACACAGGTTGTAGCAACTTTCAGCCCACCAAAAAAAAAAAAAATAAGTAAATAAATAAAATCCCAGTGGACAATGAGATAGAGGAAATCAGAAGCTATCCACCTGAATTTATTAGAATTATGATAGAATAAATACACGAGGCTATAGAGTATATCAAAAGGAAAATAATCTCATAGGTTAAAAAACAGATGATGATTATAATAGGAATGCTCAGCAAATCTAGAGTAGACAGATAAAAAAATAGAGAAGTACAGAAAATGGAAACAAATGTCCAACATAGGAAAGAAATGGAATACATGAAACAGATTCAGACAGATATCTAGGAAATGAAAAATTCCATTCAAAGTTTGAAAAACTAGATGAAATCAAGTGAAGATAGAACATCAGACATAGTAGACATGATCATGGTTAATGATTACAAAAAGAAACATCTTTTAAAACTTGTAAAGGACCATGACCAAACAATCCAATCAGTGCAAGATGATGCAAAGAACAATGTAAGACTGAAGTCAATGAAAATGTAGGAGTCAGCACAAATGATATAAAAATCTTGTTCAAAGAAGTAATAGCATGGAAAAAATTTCACAAGCATGGAAAAAATTTGACACACAGTAAATGAGGCATACAGAACTCCAATTACTCATGACCAAAATAATTCTAAATTAAGGCATATAATAAGATTCCAGAAATTCACCTCAAGAACAGAATATTAGAAGCCGTTAGAGAAAAAGAAACACCTATATAAGAAAGCCCATCAGAATCACAGCAGACTGCTCAACACAAAGGTTTAAGTTAAAGAGAGCTTGGAGTGAAGTATTTCAGGCTCTGAAAGAAAGCAGTTTTCAACCCACATTGATATATCCTGCAAAATTAACTTTCTAAATTAATGGGGAAATAAAATACTTCTATGACAAAGGAGAACTGAAGAAATTCATGACAACCAAACTAGCACTACAAAGAGTACTAAAAGATATTCTATAAAAAGAAAACGAAGTCCCACATTCCAAAAATGCCAATAGAAGGAAGCCTCTGGGTAAGGGAAACAATTAAATGGAGTGGAAAGATAGGGACCCATCAACAGGAAAATTATATGACAAAGACAAGTCCAATTACACTATCAATGCAAATGGTCTCAATTCATCAATATAAGAAATATATTGGCAGAATGGATCAAAAAATATTTAACAATACTCCATATACAGGAACCTGGAAAAAAGCAGGGGTAGTGATTCTATTTATAGACAATGTGACCTTCAAGCCAAGATTGATCAAAAGAGATAAAGAAGGTGATTACGTACTTGTAGAAAACTACAAGAAAAGATATCAATCATAAATATGTATGTATTAACTTTAGGGAATATATATATCACAAATATTGAAATAAAAATGAAATAAGTACTAACACAGTTGTAATGGGGTACCTTAATATCCCATTGTCAGATATAGACAAAAAACTCAAAGATCAGAACTGAACCAAACCTGTGAACAAATGGAGTTAGTAGATATCTACACAGCATTCCAACCACAACATCAGAATGCACATTCTTCTCAGCAATGCATAGGGACATTCTCCAAAATAGATCACACTAGCTCATAGAACATGCCTAAGTGAATGAAAAGGAACTGAAATTACCCCATGCATATT